TATTTTGCACCTTGAATAAAAATACAAACTTTATAAATCGTTCAGAAGTTACGAATGGTATGATAAAAGGATTTTGATTTCTCATATTCTTAGGTGAGTTAATTGTTTGCGCATCTATCTTTTCGTTCAATCACTGTAAAACGTTCATGCAAATTTCAGCATTTTATCGAAATACTACTATGGTTTCTGTTCGAACTCGTGCAAAAAGTTTCTAGTCGAATCAATCATCATAGTTTCAGCGCATAACAATTAATAAAATCAAACAGAAACCGGAATGAGCGCTTTATAGCAAGCATAATATCGTTTAAGTGAACGTATGCCATGACGCCTTTCACTCTAGTCGATGTCGTAGCATGGCTGACTTTGGTCATCGACCATCGAAGCACCAAGAAACTCGTTATTTCCACGTATACGTGGAGTAAAAACTACCAGCACTGCCATGCAACTGTTTCTGGCTTATCCGTCAATAAAAGACGCTATAGCTTTACGTCGCCATTCTCGTGGGCAGTCGCTGGTTTCGGACTCACCGTTGCGCTATTACTTGCGGTACCTGCGCTTGCGTGCCTTTCGTTCTTTTTGTGCTGTCGCATGGCGATTCCCTTGGTGATCAAGTCACCGAAGCCGTGATGATGAGAGAACGCATAGCTGGACCTTGTCGAAGCTTTACGTTGCCTTTGCGACTTTGATAGACGAAGCGAAGGGGGCAGCTCTGACATGCGACCTGTAAGTCGTATCAGGTTCTGCCTGATCCGGAGGCGTTCGCTCAGCGTTGGACGAGTGTCCATCCAAAAAAATCGAGTGCCAACCTAAAAACAGTTCGTTTACACCAGGAAGTACAAGAAAATTTTAACATCAAAACATTCTAGTAGAGCGATTAATGGGTTAACGTAGATTTTACTAATGCTGCACTACACTTAAGCTGTTTGCCTTCACGGCTATCTCAAACTAATACGTGACGTCATATTTGACTTGGTATTTCATTACGAAATGGACGTGTAATAATACACTTAGTTCATCGAATCAAAATCGTGGCTTTTCTCTCGTCGACCTTCCTGTCAATGAAAACCAACAGTGACAGTCAAACCATACCATACTCAGAAGTCTTGAAAGAGTCAAACGTCGGCGAAGGGGTTATCCTCAAGATATACTGAATGCCACTGGTCTCAGAGTTTCCTGTGCGGTTTTGTACTTAGTATAATTCACATCAACAGCTCATTTCATGGTAATTTCTCATACTGTTGACAGCAACGTTTTAGAAAAAGAGATAAGTTCTAAACACCTCGATGTTTTGTCGTCAAGTCTGGGCTTGATCCTTAATTCAAAATTAATTAATCAGTCCATTTTTCGCGACAAAAGCGAAAATATATACGTACAACAGGAAGCATCAAAACGCTTGTGATGAGCAGAATGATGAGCCAGTAGAGTGGGGCCTGGAACATCATGAACGCGACGCCGTAGCCGCGTTGCTCGAGCAGCCTGAACGGGATCAACTGATAGTATACGATTGCGACGAAGAAGTAGAACAACACGGAACCCCAGATGAATACGTGATTGAACACCGTCCAGTAGGAGGTGTCGAGGGCAATCTGTGCTGTTACGACGATGATCAGGCCTGAGAACATGGCGAACGAAAACGACTGCAAATCGTCGGCGCTTAATCCGCTCTGCAGGTAGTTCTGGTGGAATGATGCGTATGTGACGAAGAACAAAACGGCCGATGTGAAGATGCCACGAATCACAGAGAACACGAACGTCCGCATGTTGAAGAACAGGTTGTACTGACCAGGGACGTACAAACGTGGGAATCTGAAATTAAAAATGATAAGTCATAATGCAAATGCATAATACAATCAAACGATGCATAACTAAATGTTAAACAACAACATAAACGCTTGACATCTTTCGAACTGAATTTCATCAGGTAATGAATGGATCCCTGTTTCTAGATATCTGTTCAGACCATTTAGGGATGTCAGGTTCCACGGAATTTGAACTCAATCAGTGTTCAGTTGCTCCATGTATATCACAATACTCGTCGCCAACGACTTTTCAGGCCCGATATACATATGCAGGTTGAAGGTTTATACTGCTAAAATGGAACCACTGAAGAATTGTTTTTCAGCAGTCAAGCTGACTATACTGACTGTCAGAATTTCCGTGCTAAATTTTATGTCGATTTGTACTCTTT